AAATATTGTTATGCACCCACTGACTTCAGACGTAGACAAATTTATTGTCTTGCGACACAGCAGCACCGAGGCCAACGGCACAAGCACTAATCCAAGGTAAATTACATTGCACGTCGGTCGAGTAGCAACTTGCGTGTTAATACGTTCATGATCAAAAGTTGGCACATTGGGCAAACTGGGTTGGTGTTCAGAAGGTGGCCTCATCTCTTTAAAAATCGTCTACCTGCTCAAACTAAAGCGAATAGAAGAGTGAGGCAGCGTACACCATCTTAGGCTGCTGGAAACCTTCCTTACTGCCTTAAAGCATTGACTTGAAATTCGCAGTGGTTCTAGGCGGTTATCCCTTAACTGGAACCCTCTATACTGCACTGATGCCATCTGATTAGGTTTCTGGCGAACACTTCAAAGTAAGGACCTCCTCTGTGCCGTGTTGTGATACACACACACGCGCTGCTTTAACCAGGACTGAATGATAAACAACTGCAGGCATTTTTGCCTCCCATAAGGTTCCCCTTTAGACTAAATGTGACACAGATTTTGCCCTAACTTTCCTGTCTTCGGTGCAGCAAACACTCATTGGTGATATGGCAAATTTAATTTAAATGGACTGTAAAACTTCTACTGACCATCTTTTTATATTTATCACAAAGTCGCATCACAATAACTCCCATTTCAATCATTTTACTGCGCGATTTAATTAAGTCGGGGCAGGTGCTACGTTCGGCGCGAAACTCACCGGCCAAATGAGAAATGGAATGCCAGTCCTCGTGGGCGGCAGTGACACCTGACCACACCCTTATTGGGGGATGAAATAAACAAAGATAAAAGAAAGCTTCGTGAAACTGCAAGTACGCAACAATTTCACTACTTGCTTAGAAAATCTAGTTATTGACGTGGTAGTGGTTGCGGACAAATTTTCTGTGGAAAACTAAGGAGGAGTGAGATGCGCACAGTTTTGAAGCTGGAAATATGGCAAAACAGAAGTTTGATGATAGCTTATGTGGTAGAAAATGAAGTTCTCCATTATGCATTCTTTCGCCCGAGCAACCTTTGATCGAGTGGATTTAAACACACTTTGACAGATGCTTACTGCATCTGTTGCAGCCCTAGAAGGGGGATGTAGCGGCACCCCTTTTGTGCCTGACAGGCATTTAGCATTCCTCCTTCAAGTAATCACTCTCTAAGCCTTCATCATGCAAGAAAAAACTTTGCCCAAGTTTATGCAGTCCTTTTCATCAACGAGCAATCAAGGCTATTAATGCGAAAATCGGGATCTTGCTCGTTATTCATTATGAAATCAAGAAAATTGACTTTAAATTAGTTTTTTCCCCTTAAATCCAAGTCTAAGGTGCATTGAATATTTGCATATTTAATCATTTGTTACCCAAACCATTTTTAGGGTCATCCGATGGAAGAAATGAAATGGATGAATTGGATTAAAGTACGGCTAAGTTTAAGTGTCTCAACCAAAAAAATATGGTTTGAATGCTGCGGTGAATAATGAAAAAGCGGGAAAACGCGGTTATTGAATGCCATAAAATGGCAGCTGTTCTTACAAATTCTTTTAGATGTGTGCAACAAAAAACCTTGACAGAAAAGAATTTCAACGCGCTAAAATGCGGTTGAACATACTGCAAGTGATTTCCCCTTTCCAGTGCTGCCCGGGTCAAGTTGCTCGTCCGCCAGTTGAGGCCACAAGCCTTTCGAATTGCTCTCCCTCCTTGTAATGGCATCCTTCCAAAGGCATAAGCGAGTTCAGACCCCAAGACCGTACAAAATTTGTCCAATTTGGTAAAAGGAAGGCTGATTAATAGGGAGAATCCTCATCGCATTTACCGAGCCGGCTGGGTCTTGAATATTTAAAAAAATGCTTTGAAAACCATATTTCAGGAAGACATTAGAGACCTTTTTATAAGTGATTGCAGGAACATTGAATAAAATCGCAGCAATGGTCAGCAATGTGCAAAGCATGAAAACGATGTGAATGAAAATACATCTGCTTTGCTTGCAAATGTCATTAAGGCGCAACGGCGTGGACACAGAGGCGAAAGAGACTTTCAATTTTCAATTCCCACCCACATAATTTTGAAATTTTTGTGGGAATTTTTGTATTAAAAGACATTACAGATGGAGCTATTTCCCTGACATCTTTGATGAAAGCACTCTATTTAACAATGGCCACTCCTTGTGATGACACAAGATGTCAGTTTCTTTTCCATTTATTGTAGGTTCCAAATGTGCGCCAATTTATGTGCACAACATTTGAATTGACCACTCGACGCCCCGAACTTGGTTGGTCTTATGTAGAAATTACTATTCAGCAAGACATGCGCACAGCAAGCATTGCAACCGAGACGAGGAACAGTGCCAAACCGCGGGGTACAACATTCGGAATAATAGCTCACGAGCGTGGCGAGCTGCCCTTCAGTGCTTACGATCGTAACATCTACACCACTTTAGCACCAGAAAACGAAGTCTCCATCTACTACTCCAAATCTGTGACAAGACGAGCTAACACTGCAAGGAGCCCTTGTCACGATGGGGCCGATGCAGCCTGGCTTGCTGAAACCTTTGAAGAGACAGGTGAAAATGGAACATTCTGGGACTTTCTCGACCGTCGTCGGTTAAGTATTAAGAAAAAACGCGCCTGGCCTACCAACAATGTGCCATATTTACCTGACCACCAGGCCACCGACATGCGCACCAATGAACGGCGGCAACCGGCCACCCAGAGGAGTGCAAAAGCCGTTAGTCTTTTCAACACTGAGTTCCTTTATAGCCGTGAGGCTTGTGGGTGGAAAGTGTGCTGCATGAAGGTCGCTCTAGAGTGCGGATGCACTTGTACCATGGATTGGCTCCTATCTACGGCGACTGAAAAATGTCCAAATGATCGGTGCGAACGTACGCAGTGCTCCGATTCTCCTGTACTCTACGACCAGTGTCCAATGCCATGTGTGCTTTCAAAATTTGTTAAACAGAACCTTCTTGTCATTGAGCCACCAGAATCGAAGCTGTCTGCAAACACCTCGAAGTTAAAACTCATTAGAGCGGAAAACGTCCAAGTTGCTGCTGAAGAGGAGATCTATTCTTTGGCAAAATTATTTTCGGAAATAGGTGGTCTCTGCTCCCTGTTTATAGGATTTTCATGCATCTTCATATTTGAGTTCCTCGAGGCAATATTACTTATAAGGCGAGGAGGTAAAACGGCCATTCAAAGACCCAAAGAGAAGCAGCTAACAGATGATTCCATCACGCATTACTGCTGTGCGTCGGAGGCCAAAATGGCGGCATTGACACAAACGGCACAAAGTCCCAGTCGGGAGCAGAGCCCGCCTCCGGTAATGAGCAATCATTATCTCGGACAGAACCAGCAAACATCACTCCTTCCGTCAGGCGCACCATTGTCGATACCGCCACCGGAGGAGGGTGTGACGCTGCCGGTCATTCTTCGCTCTGGTATGATATTCACTAATCATCGCAATGGCATGGAAAGACTTACGGCGGCAGAGATGAGTGGCATGAAGGAGAACTCCTACCTTCTCGCTGATTCACAAGGTTAGTGATTGACACTTGTGTCTGTATGCATAAATTGTATTCAGCGACCCTGGGAGCCTAAATTCTGGGCTACCGATAAATGCTCGCAGTTGTGCATCGTAGATGCAAATAAAATGTTTGCGATTTCGTTATGACATATGTTAAGACGCCGACTGTGAAATAAAACCTCAAATTTTTCCAAGAACAGTATGAATAATTAAGCTCAGCCTCACCGTTAGCATGAAGACTAGCTAAAACTGTGCATGGTCTGTCGCCAGAGTATTAACCTTTCTTGAAACAAACACCAGCGTGGACTCCTTTGCCATAAATGAGGGACTACCTCACAGTGTTCTCCAAGTGTCTTATATCCACAAGGCTACCAAGGTGCACTATCATTGCTGTGGACCTTTTAAACTTCGGCCCCT